AAAGCTTTTGATTTGGTCTCCCGCAGTATTCTTGCCAGCAAGTTAAAGAAGTATGGATTGGATGAATGGACTAGAAGGTGGATAGAAAGCTTGCTGGATTGTCGGGCTCAACGGGTAGTGATCAACAGCTTGATGTCTAGTTGGCAGCTGGTATCAAGAGGAGTGCCCCAGGGGTCGGTCCTGGGGCTGGTTTTGTTCAACATCTTTATTAATGATCGGATGATGGGATGAATTGCACCCTGGGCAAGTTTGTGGATGACATTAAGTTGGGGGAGAGGTAGATACGGTGGAGGGTAGGGATAGGGTCCAGAGCAACCTAGACAAATTGGAGGATTGGGCCAAAAGAAATCTGATGAGTTCAACAAGGACAAGCGCAGAGTCCTGCACTTAGGAAGGAAGAATCCCCTGTACTGCTACAGGCTGGGGACCGACTGGCTAGGCAGCAGTTCTGCTGCAAAGGACCTGGGGGTTACAGTGGATGAGCAGCTGGATATGAGTCAGCAGTGTGCCCTTGTTGCCAAGAAGGCCAACGGCATATTGGGCTGCATTAGTAGGAGCATTGCCAGCAGATCGAGAGAAGTGCTCCTCCTTTCAGCACTGGTGAGGCCACATCTGGAGTACTGTGTCCAGTTTTGGTCCCCCCACTACAGAAAGGATGTGGAAAAATTGGAAAGAGTCCAGCGGAGGGCAACAAAAATGATTAGGGGTCTGGAGCACATGATTTATGAGGCGAGGCTGAGGGAACTGGGCTTATTTAGTCTGCAGAAGAGAAGAATGAGGGGGATTTGATAGCTGCTTTCAACTACCTGAAAGGGGGTTCCAAAGAGGATGGATCTAGACTGTTCTTAGTGGTACCAGATGATAGCACAAGGAGTAATGGTCAAAAGTTGCAATGGGAGAGGTTTAGGTTGGATATTAGGAAAAACTTTTTCGCTAGGAGGGTGGTGAAGCACTGGAATGGGTTACCTAGGGAGGTGGTGGAATCTCCTTCCTTAGACGTTTTTAAGGTCAGGCTTGACAAAGCGCTGGCTGGGATGATTTAGCTGGGGGATTAGGTCTTGCTTTGAGCAGGGGGTTGAACTAGATGACCTCCTGAGGTCCCTTCCAACCCTGATATTCTATGATTCTACCTAATGGGGGGTTCCAAAGAGGATGGAGCTCGGCTGTTCTCAGTGGTGGCAGATGACAGAACGAGGAGCAATGGTCTCAAGTTGCAGTGGGGCAGGTCTAGGTTAGATATTAGGAAACACTATTTCACTAGGAGGGTGAAGCACTGACAAGGGTTACCTAGGGAGGTGGTGGACTCTCCATCCTTAGAGGTTTTTAAGGCCCAGCTTGACAAAGCCCTGGCTGGGAAGATTTAGTGGGTGTTGGTCCTGCTTTGAGCAATGGGTTGGACTAGATGACCTCCTGAGGTCTCTTCCAACCCTAATCTTCTATGATTCTCTGATGTGTCCAGGCAGAGATGCACTGAGAGAGAGATGGAGCTAAACGACTGACTTGATCCTCTTGCCCCAGTCCTGGGGAACACCAGCAGGCAGACGCACACAGCATGGCTTTTATAGGGGGTGAGTAATGGCTGGCATTTTTTCTAATGATTAAAGAGTTTCCATTGTCCTCCATCAGTGTTTGCATTAATGCCCTGCTGATGGCTCGCACTGGAAATGAGGCACACATGTTTGACAGGTGAGAAATGTACCATTGGGATTCCCCGGGGAAATGGTTGGTTCACTGGGGTCACTTGGAGTCTTTACATCAAGGCTGAACATCGTTTTCTAAAGGATACGCTCTAGCTCAGCCATTAGCTTTGGCCTGTGCGCAGCAGGAGGTCAGGCTAGAGACTCATGATGGTCCCTTCTGGCTTTGAAAGCTATGACTGTATGACAGAGACAGAATCCGTGGGCTAGACAGTCTGGTACCCTCTGGCAATTGGTCTGCTCCCTCTGCACAGCCCTGAGGTGGCTCTGCTGTAGGACAGCTGGCGAAGCGTATCCCTCACTGATCCTATCTGCGGGGCGGGCCACTAGCCTGTTAGAGCTTGTCAGCCAATGTCCTCCCGTGGTACTGGCCTCCTCCCAGTGACCCCTACTGGCAGAGTGAGCAGAAGGTCTTGCTCAGCGTGTGTCTCAACAGCCCAGCCTGTGCTCCATGGTGGCGGCTGGGTGGCCTCGGCCTGCTGTCTGGGATGAGTCTGTGCACCTCTTTCTCCTTTTCTGCCTCATCCTGCAGCAGCAGGACCCCTGTAAATCGTAAAGGAAAGCCTGGAGCACCTGGTGCACCCTCTAATGGTGCCTCTCACGAGCGTACCCGGCGCAGATGGCGTCTTGTTGACATTGTACCACTCAGACTCCCTGCACCAGCAGTCGGGTGCATCTGTGTCTGGGGAGTGGACGCAAACCATGGCACAGTGTTAGCAAAGGCGACTGCTGCGGGGCTCTGGAGCCTTCAGATTGGGCTAATGTTTGGGCTCATTTCAGACCAGCAGCCAGGCACACAAACCTTCTCTGAGCCACTCCAACCATGCCTGGCGCTGTGGCCATGGCAGTGGGTTAGTTTGCGCAGCTGTTTGGGAGGGTGGGAAGGAGGCTCTCGGGAAGTGAGGGGCCCAGAGGGTGAAGGAGGTGCCACCCAGCGGACATGGCTGGGGAGGGCCAGATCCACACACACCAGTGAAGGCAGGAAATCTCTGGCCAGCAGAAGAGCTAGAAGCTGAGAGTCAGATTCTGAGCTGGCGTAAACAGGTTTCCCATTGATTCCAATAGCGCAACGACGATTTACCCAGCTGAGACCCTGGCTCTTACTTCACATGAGAACTTAATCCCGCCGAAGCTCATGAGTGGGGACACAGCTGCATGCCCCCCCGACTCCTCCCACCAGCCACTGGTCCCCAACCCCCATCAACCACTGCTCCCCAAACCCCCACCTACCACTGCCCTGACCCCTCCCACCAGCCACTGCCCCAATTCCCAGCAGCCACTGCCTCCCAAATCCCCCCCCAACCACTTCCCCCCAATGCCCAACAGACCCCCCATCCCACCCACCAACCATTGCCCCTCAATCTCCACACAAACCACTGCTACCCCACACTCACCACTGTCCTCCTAACCTCCCACCCAGCACTGCCATCCCAAAACCCTTCACCAACTACCAATCACTACCATCCACACCTCACCCCTACAACTGGCTCATCCCACCTGCCACGGCCACCCACTGACCTCCCATCTGCCCCATTGTCAGCAGCTGCCTGTGCCATGTCTGAGACTGGCTGCTGCTATGTGGCCCTCACAGAGCCCCTGGAGAAGACAGTGCACCAGACCTGCCTCCCCTTTCCCAGCTGTGCATGCACCCTCTCCTCTGCCTTCATCTTTTTGGGATGTTTCCTTATAGCCCAATCTCCTGCCAGAGCCCCTTTGTGCTGCTGAGCCTAGTGGTTCCAGCTTGCTGTCAGTGGAGAGTCTCTCCAAGCCCCCTGGCTTTCAGGAGACCCCAGCTGTCTGCCACAGCTTCACACGTTCACCTCCACAGCTACCTGACACAGAGCTACATGCTGCTATGATGTTCATGGTACACACACTGAGAAGTAAGATAAATACATAAACAACTCTGGCTGGAAGGTTGCATCAAAACATGACTTTTATTCTTAGAATCCTGAGCAAACACGCACGGTAACCAAAACCAGAGAGAGACAAAGCAGGCTGCTCCCTGAGGCAGAGAGACACAACTCACTCCACCTTGCTGCAGGCTGGCTCTTTCCAGACTGACTCATCCCACACTTCCCTACAAAGCCCCCTAGACTCCTTAGAAATGTAAAGCGATAGTTTACAATTTAACAGTTTTCAATACACCCTGGACACCAGCAGCATCACACCCAGGCTCGGGCTATCTCCTTTCATGGGTCTCACAGCAGTCACTGACTCACAAGAGGAGCCATAGGCTGGAGTGCAGATCCCAGAGACAAGCATTGCTGTGCTCTGACAAACTGGCTTCCTAAAATAGCCTCTCCCAAGCTGTGATGCATAGAGGCTGCTGGTGTTTAGCAGAGAGTGAGCTATTTGTGTGGTGTGGGCCTGGCTTCTAGGGGTCCTCAGGCTCTTCATGGCAAAGAAGTGCCTGGAGGCCTGTAGCAGCAGTTGGAGACAAAGGGGAGGAGCCCGTCTAGCTCCTTCTATTAGAAGCGGCTGCTGCCTGAGAGGGGGAGAGGAAATAGGGGCTTCAATTTGTTACATGTTAGCCCCCAGCTGATAAGCATTGCCCAGGGGAGCAGGGAGTGCACTGGGAGAGGGGACCAAGCAGCAGGAAGCACATCCAGCGTGGAAGAGAACGGCCAGGCCGGTGCCTATGGGGCAATGAAGGGCAAAACTGCACTGGACAGCCCAGAGTCCCCTCCCCACATGTGCTGGGCTGTATTTGTCACAGGGGTATTCCGGCAAGACTGCGTACCAGCTAGGGGTGTGATTCCTCTGCTCACGTACACATACCTGTGGGAGGTTTCAGAGGAACAGCCGTGTTAGTCTGTATTCGCAAAAAGAAAAGGAGGACTTGTGGCACCTTAGAGACTAACCAATTTATTTGAGCATGAGCTTTCGTGAGCTACAGCTCACTTCATCGGATGCATGCCGTGGAAACTGCAGCAGACTTGATATACACACAGAGAATATGAAACAATACCTCCTCCCACCCATACCTGTGGGAGCTCTTACTGAGCTGGTAGCCATGGTAGCAAGCCAGTCGGTACGTTCTTGGCAAAGCTCTGCCATGCCTGTGGTCCTACTGCCCATACTACCATGGCTACACTGGTAGTGCTAATTCTCATCCAGCTACTGCAGGTGTGTATGCACGAGGGGAGGAGTCACATCCATAGTTCCCAGCCTAGACAGGCTGGTGGTACCAACCCAGTGTGGGTCACCGGTGCCACCTAATGGTAAGACTGGCCCATTGCACGGCAGGGAATAACTTCCTTTTTTTGTTTAAGCTCCCTTCCATAAGGGAAAGTGCTAATCCTCTGTTCATATGAACGGTTTCAGAGTAACAGCCGTGTTAGTCTGTATTCGCAAGGGAGCCAAAACTGAAGGGAGAAGGAGGAAGCAACCGCAACTGCCTCTGTGACTGAGGCATTTCTAGCCAGCACAGTGTGGGGCCTGGGGAGTGTCATGTTCCTGTACCAGGTATGGACCAGTGTGATAAATGAAGGTGGTGGGGGAGGTAGCTTCCTTTTATGGACATCCAGCCAGGCAGTAGCTATAAAATCCCTCTTAGTAGCTGTTCTCTAATTGCTCTACCTCTAAAGGGTTAAAAAGTCTCCCTGCTATGCATAGGTAAGAGGAAGGGAGTGGGCACCTGGCCAAAAGAGCCAATGGGAAGGCTAGAACTTTTTAAAATTGAAAAACAACTCCTCTTTTGTCTGTCTGTGGTTCTCCGCGGGGAGAGGTGGACAGGGCAGCAGTTATGCTGTAAGAAGCTTGGGCCAGGTATGAAAAAATCATCAGTATCATACCTAGAAACTACTCATTTAAAACCCCAGAAATGTAAGCAGATCAGGAAATGTCTCGGAAGATGCGATTAGGTTTATCCCTCTTATTTCGTTATGGCTTGTGGAGTCCTGTGTGCTAACCTCAGGTGCTTTTGTTTTGCTTGTAACCTTTATGCTGGACCTCAAGGAAGCTATTCTTGGTGCTTAATCCTTGTAGTTGCTCTTTTAAAAACTAGAAATAGCCAGAGATCGCTGATGTATTTTCTTTCTTTTTTTATTAATAAAATTTACCTTTTTTAAGAAGAGAATTGGATTTGTGTGTCCTAAGAGATTTGTGCAGGTTGTTTAATTAGCTGGTGGCAGCAGCTCGTTTCCTTTTTTTTTCCTTTCTCAGCTCTTCCCTGGGGGGACTGGGGATGAAGGGGCTTAAGGGTGCCCCACAGGAAGGAATTCCCAACTGCACCTTCCTGGGCTCTCAAAGGGGTTCTGCACTTGGGTGCAGGGCCAATCCACAACATTTTGGCACCTGAGGCAGGGAGCTCAAAGGACGCCCCCCATGTCCCCTCGAATGGGCCAAAACTTTGAAAGGTCTCAATTCTGCCTTCTTCCTGCTCTATTCCTGTCATGGTATCTTCTTGAATATGTCCAGAGCTCTTCCAGTCGATTTTGTGACCAATGTGGTCATCTTGTGAGCATCAGGAATTTTATGGAGTGTGCACAGTCTCTCAAAGGTGAGAAAATATTCAGCAATATCACTGGATTCATCATACTGTGGACCTAGTTGCTCCCATTTGTGGATTGTTAGGGTTATTCTGTATATTCTGCTGAGCCCTTGCCTTCTCTATCTCCAGTGCATGCTTCCTCTCTTTTTCCCTCTCCTCCATTTCTTTTTCCTTTGCCTCCATTTCTTTTTCTTTTGCCTCCATAGCTCTCTTGTGGGCAGCTTCTTCTGCCTCCACCCTGGCTTTTTCTTTGGCTGCTTGTGCATCAATCTCCATCTGTCTGAGTTCTACCCACCTTTCATGTTCAACTTTGAATTGTTGTTTGGGTCTCTTATGGGATTATCCCGTGCCTTGTAATCAAAATGTCTTCTTCTTCAGTGACTCTTGTATTCTTGAATGGGTGGGAAAACAGCTTCAGCGTGAAGTTCCTCTGCCAACTTCTGTGCACTCTTCAGAGCGTTTTCAAATCCCTCATCTGACCGGTAAGACTGTAGGTATGACTTTACTTTGTCCAGTTGTTCCATTGCGCCAGATATATCAAGGTCAACACCTTGGAGTCTCTTGCTTACAACATTTATTTCAAACAGTATGTCATGCCACAACACTAAACCACACAGAAATTTGAAGTTATGTATGGTTCTGGTGATTCCATTTCCCGCTGACACTGTTCTCCCATGAACAGTTCCTGTCATAGCATTATCCTTCATAATGGCAACTATGGCATCATCTATCTTCCCAATTTGGTGTTTGATAGGCTTTATCGCCTCCACTCGACTTTCCCATCGTGTGGCACTCAGTGGTCTCAGTGTCAGAGAAGATGTTCCCAGATGTTGCTTCAAAATTTGCCATCAATGAGTTGATGCAGAGAAAAATACATAGATGCTTTGAATTACATTAAAAAATTCAGCAGCCTCACTAGAAGCTGATGCTGCATCACGGACCACCAAGGTCAATGAATGAGAACTGCATGGGACAAAAAAAGCTCCAGGGTTTAACTCTTGGATCCATGTCTGCACTCCTCTGTTCCTTCCTCTCATGTTGGCACCGTTATCATAGCCCTGACCTCTCCTGTCAACCATCTCAATTCCCGTATCTTCCAGCTTTTTAAGAAGCACATGTGTCATACCAGCTCCTGTAGTATCATCAATGTCAATAAATTCTAGAAAATGCTCTCGGACCGTCACCATTGCAGGGACATTTTCACGAGGTTCTGTTGTTGTTACAAAACGAACCATTAAAGTCGTTTGTTCCGTATGGCTGATGTCAGGTGTGCAGTCCAGAATAACAGAGGAATATCTTGCTGACTTCAGATCTGCCACAATCTTCTGTTTGACTTTTGTTCCCAGTAACTGTATGATCTCATTTTGAATTGTTTTTCCAAGGTAGTGGTGTGTGTACATTTCTTGGGTGGTGACTCTTCTTAGAGGCTCCTGGAGTACAGCAGCAAACTCAGCCAACAACTCCACAATTTTAGGAAGTTTCCATTGTTTGGCACATACAGCTGATCTGAAGTGCCACGCAGGGCTAGGTGTTGGGTCGCGAGCATTCTCACAATGGCAACGAGCCTTTTCAGAACATGTTGCCAGTAAAGAGTGTGACAAAGCTCTGTCCTTGTCTCAGTGGGTCCCGTACTTTCTGGAGGATTTCACTAGACTCAGAGGCTCACTGTGACCCTCCAAGTAGCCCTTCTCTCTCTAGAGGCAAGGCTCACAGCCTACTGAGCCATTTTCATCATAAGCCAGCAACGGAGGTGAGGAGAAGCCACCCTCCCTGGCACAGTCTCTGTTGCCTCCGAATCTCAGTGATTAATCGGGGAGGGGTCTAGAACTGATCAATGAAATTGTTTTTAATTGTTCACTTTATTAATATAACTTCATAAGCAAAGTTTTATGAATGAAACAACATTCATTCAAAAACCGGTTACCCCAATAACTGGCTAATTGAGTTTCACTTTCAATCCAATCCCTGCTTAGATCGCTGAAACTTACACTGACTGACAGAGCCAGAAGAGTACCCAGAAGTTACCTACTACAGGACAGGCCCAACAAAGAAAATAACAGAACGCCACTAGCCATCACCTTCAGCTCCCAACTAAAACCTCTCCAACGCATCATCAAGGATCTACAACCTATCCTGAAGGATGACCCATCACTCTCACAGATCTTGGGAGACAGGCCAGTCCTTGCTTACAGACAGCCCCCCAACCTGAAGCAAATACTCATCAGCAACCACACAACACACCACAGAACCACTAACCCAGGAACCTATCCTTGCAACAAAGCCTGTTGCCAACTGTGTCCACACATCTGTTCAGGGGACACCATCATAGGGCCTAATCACATCAGCCACACTCTCAGAGGCTCGTTCACCTGCACATCTACCAATGTGATATATGCCATCATGTGCCAGCAATGCCCCTCTGCCATGTACATTGGCCAAACTGGACAGTCTCTACGTAAAAGAATCAATGGACACAAATCAGACGTCAAGAATTATAACATTCAAATACCAGTCGGAGAACACTTCAATCTCTTTGGTCACTCGATTACAGACCTAAAAGTGGCAGTTCTTCAACAAAAAAACTTCAAAAACAGACTCCAACGAGAGACTACTGAATTGGAATTAATTTGCAAACTGGATACAATTAACTTAGGCTTGACTAGAGACTGGGAGTGGATGGGTCATTACACAAAGTAAAACTATTTCCCCATATATATTTCCCCCCCTTCCCTGCCCCACTGTCCCTCAGACGTTCTTGTCAACTGCTGGAAATGGCCCACCTTGATTATCACTACAAAAGGCCCCCCTCCCCACCGGCGCTCTCCTGCTGGTAATAGCTCACCTTACCTGATCACTGTGGTTACAGTGTGTATGGTAACAGCCATTGTTTCATGTTTTCTGTGTATATAAATCTCCCCACTGTATTTTCCACTGAATGCATCCGATGAAGTGAGCTGTAGCTCACGAAAGCTCATGCTCAAATAAATTGGTTAGTCTCTAAGGTGCCACAAGTACTCCTTTTCTTTTTTGTTTCAACATTGTAACTTCTGCTCACTGTTTCTCATTCATTATACTTGTCTATATTGTAACTTCTTTCACTGTTTGCCATTCCTTTCACTTGTCCATATTGTAACTCAAACTCCATTTTAACTTGCCCCAAACTCCATTTTAAAATGCCCACTGCATTTTGTAAAAGCTTTCTGCAACCTTCATTTTGCAAAGCTCACCGTGAACATTTGTGTCTGTGTATCTCAGGAGAGCTCCTTCCTGCTTAGATAGAAAAGCTTCCTTTGCTTGCTTGCTTTTTCTGAGTGATGACCCAGAGGGGCGTTTTCTTCTTTCACTCATGACTGCTGTCCTGTGCCAGCTACAGTGGCTCTCAACACTCAGTTGAAGGGGACAATTAAGCAGGCTGGTAGCAGGGCCTGAGTGAGGGAAGATATCAGCTTCTTAAGGGCCTTATTGGCTCCTTCAGTTGACTGCCTGTTCTCTTCAAATGGGTTCAGGGAAGCAGCAGGAAACAGGAAGCTCGCTGAGAAGCTGGGGTTAATCAGTCCAGGCTCCTGGGGTGCTAGAGAGGTACATAAGAGGCTCCTCTTCCTCTCTCCCCCTGCAGCTCCTGCTGCTTTCTGTTATTCCCTCTCACCTTTTCTCCTGCCTGCCTGTTCTGTCTCTCGTGCCCTCTTCCCTCCAGCACAGCGCTCCCCCATCTCTGTGCATCTAGAGCAGAGAGACTACATATGGGCCAGCAGCAGAAACAATTTTCTACACTCTGGGTCCTAGTGGCACCCCCCACCCCCAGTCTGGCACCTGAGGCAGTCACCTCAGTTCACCTCATGGTAAGGCCAGCCCTGGCCCTAATCCTCTAATTTGTCTAGGTCACTCTGGACCCTATCTCTACCCTCCAGCATATCTACCCCTCCCCTCAGTTAGTGTCATCTGTGAACTTGCCATTCATCCCGTCATCCAGATC